CTTATGTGGCTGTTTTATTAGAGTACTCTGCCCCACACTTAAGTGAGGGCAGTTTAGTCTTTGTAAGTGTAATTAGAACCTAATAAACATTAGGGGGTCGACTGAAGGGGAGACTAATCAGTTTCGACTAAACCCTCCTGTTCTTTCTCTTGTCTTCTTCCTTCACTGGTTCGGGTTACTGTAGCTGCTCCAAAACAGCATCAAAAGGAGAAAAGAACAAAAGCTACAATTTAGCTGAAGCCAGGAAGACCAAACTTAGAATTAAAAGAAAACAAGAAGACCAAAAAACGAGTCATCACCACCAAAAAATGAAAAAGGGACAAGCACATCTAAGAAAATTCCAGAATGTACTACTAGTTGTGTTGTGGATTTTCTACACTGATCATCTTGCATAACATTTCACAATGTTTTATGTGAGAATTTCTAATGATCATTTTTTTTTGTGCTTATCCATGGAAAACATGTAGGTCCTAAGCTGTTATACAAACAAGAGCACACTGTTTATGTTTAGCAGATTATAAAATAGAAGAAGGCTATTAACCATGTTCATCTAAAATTCTAGAGATTAGCCACACTATTCAATTGAAATAACTTCACTGCTATGCATTGGAGTGCAGATTCTTGTTCGGCGTAGTATCCTCATCTTAGATGTCATGTCATTCAACAATTCAAAAAAATTGCATATCATCATGTGATGGTGCAAATTGCGTGTGGTAGTGTATATAACTTTGTGGTGAAAAAGGTGACAGGCTAGAAGGTAGAAAGCCTTATGCATTGAAGGAAGCAAAACCTGATAAGGATTTTCCAGGCCACCCTTTACTTTTTGTACTAATGAATAAAATACTCCAGGATTAGAGTAGAGCTCAAAGAATCCTGTTACTTCCATTATCAAGCCCATCTACATGCCATGGGACAACATAAAATAACATTCCAGTAATTGTAGATGCTGGGAGGAACTTTTAACTTTAGAAATGAACACTACCTCACATTCTCATGAAATGTGAAAAGATCACGTAAGTCTTCTGTTGAAAGAAAATTCCCCTGCAAATAGAATATTTAATAGACCTAGCATTCAAAAGCAAATGTCAAAAATGTAGCAAGCAAAAGGTAGTCACTACAAGAACCTGTCCTTTATTGTTGTCCATTTGTTCATGCTGAATAACTTTCTGAAGGCCTTCCTTTGACATCTGACGCTGGTATACCTATTAAATGTGTTCAAATAAACCTTCAAACAATCTAAAAACCATAGCTTATGGCAACAAAAACAATCACAGATGCAAGGGAAGAAGCAAGTATCATCCAGTGTTGTGACATAATGTTTTAATCAATACCTTTTCTTCAATGGTTCCAGTACTCAAAAATCTATAGATGTATACTCTCTTCTTTTGTCCATCTCTCCAGACTCTAGCGGCAGCCTATTTGTGGAAAGACAAATTGGAAAAACTTAGAAAATTGTTGATCATGAAATGAATAGGCATCTTTCTAATGCACATCAAAGTTAGTATTTACTTGCTTATCATTTGCCGGGTTCCAATCAGGATCAAAAAGCACAAGGCGGTTACCACCTATCAAATTAAGTCCACAACCACCAGCCTTGCTGCTTAAAAGAAAGGCAAATTCATCCTATAAGACATGATGTAAGCTAATTAAGCCCCATAATGCATCATTGGTAGGTGAAAGAGCCAAATAAAATTAGAAAATTTAGCATGTACCTTTGATAGATCATTAAAACGGTTGACCAACTTTTGTCTTTTACTGATAGATGTGGTTCCATCAAGCCTCAAGTATGGGTACCGCCTTTCACGACACAGTTGAGCAAAAAGATCCAGAGTCTGATCACCGAATATAAAAAGAATATACTGAACCAAAGGCTCACTTCTAAAAGCAGGACAGAACAGAGAACTTCAGAGTAATAATTAAATAGTTGACAAATGAGTTATGTAATTCTTGGGCTCAGTTGTGATTCTTGTTTTTCTTTCCTAGTTTACTTGTAAGTTTCAAGGAGGGGCTGCAGCTCGCGCCTTTCGTTGGGATGATGTATGAACTCACTCTAATTTGCTTCTGAATCAATAAACTTATGTAATTCTGTTATGCTATCAAACTAGATCATTAGTGGTAATGCAATATTATTAAAAAGAACTAGATCATCAATGCTAGAACAGTTTCTTTCAGATTGACAAGATTGTGTAAGATCAACCTATTATCCATCTCATGCGCAAACAAGTCAGATAGGGAAATTAATTTAAGTTCATTCTTTCATAAGCACTCCCAGAGGTGTACACCTAAGTTTTGAAAACAAAAAACAAAAAAAAAAAAAAAATCATGGAAGAATATGAGAAAGAGGTTTGAAATAGTTATCGACTATTCAAAGAATTTAACTAGAGAAGTTTAGTTCCAATATGAGAAAACAGTAGAAATCTGTTAACAATGAAAAACAGCAAGAAAACTAAGGGAGAAAGAGAGGGATGAGCAGAAGGAGAGGAAAGAAAGAAAAAATAGAGAGAAGAGAGAAGCCAAAAGATAGTATGGCCACCCCATTCAACATTTATATTTAAAAGAGAAAAAAGCACAAAGACAGGCACACCCCTAGCGAGGCGACTACTAAAAGGACAGCCCAGTGCACAAGGCTCCTGCCAATGCGGGGTCTGGGGAGGGATAGATGTACGCAGCCTTACCTCTGCACATATAGTGAGGCGACTACTGCTAGAAACAAATAAAAACAAATGAAGTAACATGGGCCTCATGGGCTGAGGCCCAACAGCATTAAGAAATTATTTGAAATAAGGGCCCAATGACTGTCAGTAAAAAAACCAAATGCCCCAATATTGAATTGGATCTTGCAGAAACATAATAAACAATAAATAAATAAGATCACCTCCCCTAGCCCCAGGCACCAATTCTTCAATATGGGAAAAAAATTATGGTAACCCTAACTTTTTACAGAACTTGAAGAGTACTTATTGGTCCATATATATATATATATATATATAAACTAGCATGTGCCATCACAATTATGCAATTACACCATTCCACAAAATTAGGGCCTCCAACTTAGAAAAAGGTTAGATATTAAAAGTAACTGAAAATATACCTGAGTGTAGTTTGAAACAAGAACTATGCGATCATCTGTTTTCTGACGAAGTTGGGCCAGTAATCTAGCCAGGACGTGCATTTTTCCAGAGAGTTCAACCCAAACCCCATCACCACCAGTCCATGATCCAGATCTGATTAAATAAAGCACAAGGCACCTATGAAGGAAAAAACTGTTTCTAAAGAAGAGGCGTAAATAATACCATAGCAAAGTGCTTACCTGCCAGAAAACATCTCTGGTGGGAAAAATCGTATGCAGTCCTCAAATCCCAATGTACCTGGACTTCCACTCCTGATTGTATCATAAATAAGCTGGAAGACAAATTACCATGGTTAAAACTAGACTAGTATCAGGAATGCATATATAAAATGAATATGAAAACTAAAAGAGGGATGCAGACTAGCACTAGAATATGAATGAAGGCTGGGAAAATTTTATCCCATTGAAAGCAGTCATTTATCTTTAGTCAGACATTCTTCAATAATTAGTAGGTTTTTGTACCCAGCAAATCTGAAGAATATCAAGGTATGAAATATGAACTTCTCCATTAACCTAAGTGACATGTTGCAAGTTAAAAGAGCTAGAAGGGCTAGAGGTAGACCAAAAATGACATGGGTCGATGTAGTAAGAAATGATTTAAGCATTCATAATTAAACAATTGATATGACATTAAACAAAATGGAATGGTGAAACGGGATTCATGTAACCAACCCCATATAGTTAGGATAAGGCTTAGAAGAAGACAATGACGAACTTCTCCATTAACCTCTTGCAATTCAAAATGTTATCATGTAAGCAGAAGCATGGCATCAAGAGGTTGCAACCATGACTATGAGGGCTTTCTCACTATTCTTTTCCAACAGAAAAAACGTAGGAGCAAGAGGGATAGTGGTGCTCCAGTGGAGCACTGAGAGAGGGAGAGGCCAAGAGGCAGCGAATTAGTGTGAGGGTTTCTCAATTCAAAATGAAGCAACATGGTTTGATTTTTAGTTTAGATAAAACGACACTGCATAGTCTAATATTATATGTTATATAAGTTGTTTAATATGTTATATAATACGTGTAATTGTGTATAATGTAAAATATATAATATTTTTATATTTTATAATATATATATATATAAATAAATCGAGCCAGACTCGCAAGCTTTCAAGCCAAATATTTTATTGGCCAAATTCAAGTTTGAAAAACTAATCAAACTTACCTTGAGATTTCAACTCAATTAGCATTGAACTCGAATCAAGCCTAACTGAGTTTGAGTTTGAATTCTTCGATTAAAGCTCGATTTGATTGCATTCCTAATGCTAACCGTAAACAAACATTCTTCAATAAGCAGTAGGTTTTTGTCCCCAATAAATCTGAAGAGTTTAAAGATAGTGTTACTTTGATTTGGGTACCAATCCGTAGGCAGAAGAAGCTCCAAGGCTGTTATTGAAAATGATTAATTGACACAAAAGATTAAGAGGTGCAACATTGGTCTACCTAACCCAGCCAATTTGTTCTTCTTGCATGGTTGGGTTTGGGTTTTCAAGCTTTGGGCCAAAGCTTTGGGATTGACACTAGATCAGGTTGGGCTAGGGTTAAGGCCTTGGGCCCAAGCCAGGTCCAACCCAACACAATGTTAACCTAGCATCCTGAGCTTGTGTAACATTTTTAACATACATCCACTATGTATTACATTGTGTATGTATGCATATTATGTACTTGCTAGCACACATATACATATGTTGATCAGGCATTTACAGTAATACCAACACGTGCATTTCCTATTGGGCCCAAATTCACTAACACAGAGCATGCACACTGCTAGCAATTACATCTACAATGATGTTTCTATTGTATTTTTCTTTCATTTCCTTTTTCTCCAAAAGGATTGTATAGCTTAAAGAATTTCTAGAGTAGCAAAATATGTAATACAAAACCCTCAAACCCAACCAATCTCCACAAGCCCAACCAAGGACACCCAAACCCATCCATCCTAGAGCTCAGCCCAACTTTGTGCCACGGTTTAGCTTAGGGTGAGAAAATTTGAGAGAAAAATGAATTGATTGTATTGTCTTGGAAGGAGCATATACACAACTTTATATAGAATTACAGAGCTAATTTACAGGGTGATAAAATAGGAAACTAACTTTCCCAAAAAAACTAATTTCTATATYAGTGGGATTCTCCAATTAATATCCCATGATTCTAGGAAATTAAATTTCCTAAACTGATGGACCTAAAATTATGGAGAATCAATCAGAGGGTCAATCTTCCACTTTCCAACACTCCCCCTCAAGCTGGTGAATAT